TTACTCCACATCACTCTGCAGTGAGCTCCAGATGGACCTCTCATTGTTAGTCTCCAGCATGTCCACACTTTTTATGACCAACGGACTGAGCTGAACAATTACAACTCTATAAAGAATAATGATCTTAACCCCATGACATCACTTGTGGCCTGCTCACCTCATTCCTCCAGCTGGCCAAAAACAACAGGAGTAATATCACAGGGCTGAGCCGGAGATCACATTTTCATTGAAATATTTTATTTAAGTATTATAATGTACTCCCTTAATTTAATGGTAACTTTTATATACAGCAGACTGAAAAGTATTCAATATTGTAAAACGTAGAATATAGAAAATGTACAAATGTTCAAAGAAGAAGTAGAAGACAGGCTTTTTAGTCTTAGCAAAAAACACACAATAAAATGTAACTGTGGTCATTTATAAATAGTTACATTCAGTGGTAGAAAGTAACTAAGTACATTTACTCAAGTACTGTACTCAAGTATATGTTTGAGGTACTATTTCAATTGTATGCTACCTCTTACTTTCACTCCACCACCATTTTTAAGCCAAAATAGTACTTTTTAGTGACTACATTAATTTAACAAGATTAATTAGTTGTTACTTTGCAAGTTGATATTGTTAGTCTAAAAATGCAATGAACTAATGAATTATGGCATACTCTTTAAGATACCTGGCAGTATAAACAGTTATTAAATGTTATTACCAACTGCAAAATCAAAATGATTCACATTAATGGATTTATAATAAGAATCATGTGATAAAATATACTGTATATTATTCTGAAATAAAACAATCTGTGTGATGAGTTATTTTCCTTCTGGTAATTTCAGTATATTATGATGCCAGACCTTTATTTGAAACAGAGTATTTCTACACTGGGGTATGACTACATTTAATGAAGTAAAAGATTGAAGTACTTCCTCCACCACTGGTTACAGTATGTCTGGTTCTGGAGCGTGTTCCTGTGTGTAGGAGTTCACTTGTTGGCAGTGTAGGAAGCGTAAGAACATCTTGGCAGTGTTTAATTAGACTGTGGGTGTAGTATGAGTGAGTGTGTGTGTGTGTGTGTGTGTGTGTGTGTGTGTGTGTGTGTGTGTGTGTGTGTGTGTGTGTGTGTGTGTGTGTGTGTGTGTGTGTGTGTGTGTGTGTGTGTGTTATGCTAATTTAAAGTGTCCTGCCTCATAGCTTCTGTCTCTTATATAAGAGCGACACACTGACAGGAGAGTAAAGACAGAAAGAGTGGACACAGTGCAGCTGCTGGACTCTCTCGCTCTCTCTCTCTCTCTCTCTCTCTCTCTGTGTATCGCAGTGTGTGTTTGCGCTCAGATTGAAGATGATGGAAGCGTCCGTCTGTTTCCTCCTGCTGCTCAGCCTCGCCCTCCAACCCTCTGATGCTGCTGGACCAGGTATGCACTCACACATTTATTAAACCCTTTAAATCTGCAATAACTCTAAACTACATTCAAACAAAAATCAAAGCCACAGCTAATGTTGTTTGAATGTACGTTATAATGCCTTTATTATAAAGAATATCTAGTCATATTTCTGGCAACGCTCTTATATCCCTGATCTAAACAACTTGGTAATGCATTTTTCCTAGATATAAAATGTAGATGATGTTTTGATATCATCTGTTGCGTTTAAATGGGGCTAAAATGTGCAAAACTATAATGCATTGTTGATGTACTGAACATTCTCATAATGCACATATAATACCTTGTACTATTACAATATATGTGAATAATGCAGCTAAGCTGTGCTGACATTTAAAATGTAATGTTCCATCCCTAATAGGCTAACTATGATGTATTACAATACACTTAAAGCCATGATGGAAAGTAACTATACATTTAAGTATTATATTTAAATGAATTGTTTACATATTTGTACTTTACTGGATTATTTCCATTTAAAGCTTTATAATTCTACCGCTCTACATTTCAAGGCAAATATCGTACTTTTGACTCCACTACCTTTATCGTAGCACTTAGCACTAGTTACTTTTTACATAATACAAACACTTATGTTGTTGATATGATGATAATACAGTACTTTACTATTCATCTTCACAGTATTCCCAGCATCGAAATGTGGTCCACATTGACCAAGATACTGAAATGCTCTGTATAAAAAACAGGATCATTTAATAACCATAATAATAATAAATGTGAAAATATCCACTCTATTCACTGAAAAGTCATTTGACTTTTGATACTTAAAGTACATTTAGCAAATACTAAATATACTTTATATTATCCTGAAATGGGTAATTGTTAGTACTTTAAGAGTGAATCTCTTAAGTACATTTTGATGCCAATTATTTTCTACTTTTACTTAAGTAACATTTTGAACTCAGGACTGTTACAAAATGGAGTATTTTAAGACCATAGTGTACTTTAAGTAAAACACTGACTTTACGATACGTGATGTGATGGTGCTATATAACACACGTATTAATGCCTTGTGAATGAATCTATTACTGAAATACCACACACACACGTGCACGCTCACACATGCACACACACACACACACACACACACACACACACACACACACACACACACACACACACACA